CCCAGTAAGCCATTCAGAGTCATGAGTCGACGCTCCCGGAATTTTTGTTGGTTTTAGACTTTGTTACGGTGTCTTTTCGCACCATCATAGAAAGTTCGTTAGGTATGCCTTGCATTCTTGCTACTTTGGGAGAGAACTGCTTGTTGGTTATTCGCAGCAAATATCATATCTGCAGGCCGTTCAACTGTTCGCCACCTGCTGACCTTCGAAGTAGCCCAAGCTAGCGTCAATACTTGTGTTAGTGTTATATTAGACTCGACAAAACCGTTTTGCAATATTTTCAACGATTCCCTAGCCGTAATTCCACTGGAAGCATGAAACTTCAAGTAAACTCGTTGTTAAATTTTTCTATTGCTAAAATTGCCAGAACAAATTGCTGGTATCTTAAACAAACAGTTGTCCACCACAGACTAATTGTCATATCGAAATAAAACTTCACACGAACTTAAAACAAATGCGCCAGTCCGGCTCATATTTGATTAGATGGCGTTATGGCTAGGGCAAAGTTTGAATCGATTTCAGCGCTAAACATATTTCCAACACTTTTAGTTTTAGCAAACAACCGTTAAGCAATCGAAACTGTTATTGTCGTTCCCACGACAGTCAGATCTACCTAACCGGAACGGACCCGAATGTTTAACCAGTCAAGGACGCCGGATTTCTTAACCTACAACAACAACAACATTATACTATTTTCATACATCTTGCGAGTGTATAAAAATACCACATTGTGCATTTAACGCTAGGTCATATCGCTGCGGCAACTAACCAAATTCAATTTATTTACTAAATAGTCTGCAAATTCTACACAATCGTTCCCGATTCTTCTGTTATTTTTATATTCAATGAAATTTAAAACAAACACAATTAACAGAAAAATGCCATTAATCATTTAAATATTATTCAGCATAATTAATTATACATATGTATATACTAGATAAAAAGCCAAAGAAACTCACTTACATACACATATAAAATATAATTTAATTGTGCCTAAATCTATAAATATATTATTAATATATATTTATAAGTACTTGCACATACCCACCTGCTCAAAATAATAGTTACACAATACTTTTTCAAGTAAAGCTCATCAGTAAAAAGTTGTATTTAAATTTTTGAGAAAAACGCAAACATACTTATATTTTCCAAATATTTACAAATATTTATGACAAAAGAGTTTTGTTGTATATTTAGCATTACTTAGTTAACAGTCAGTATATCCCCTATTATTCTGGATTACTTTATTCATTCGTTTGGGCATACTACTAATTTAAGCCTGACAGGTTTCTTTAGGTATCTCATACCAAGTTTTTTGTATGCACTCCCAGACTGGTCTTTGTTAGAGAAAGATTGACTCGCCAAATTTTTGTTTTAGATTTAAGTCCGGGGATTGGCTTGGTCACTTCAAAACGTTAACATTATTGTTCTCAAAATATTTCTTAACCAATTTGGTGGTATGTTTTGGGTCATTATCTTGCTGATATACCCAACGTGATGGTAAGTTTTCTTCAGCATAGGGTATTATGACATTTTCAAGTATTTCCTTGTACTCCGACGCTGTCATTTTATTAGTTGTCCGGTATATAGGACTTAGCCCCCTACCAAGAAAAACATCCTCACACCATGACGTTTCCTCCACCTCCATGCTTCACAGTTTTCTTTTTTTTTTTTTTTGTGAATCGAACGTGAAACTCTTTTCCTTTTGGACGACGCACATTTCTCTCACAATCGTATCCAAACAAATTTATTTTCGTTTAATGGCTCCATAAGATGTTTATCCACTTTTTTTTCACCTCCCTCAGGTCCTGACCAATCTAAATGACTTCTTGTAAAGCTTAACCTCATATCTAATTTTTTTTATCGCATTAATGGAACTCTCCTGGCTATTCGTCCTGGTAGCGCCTGCGAACTGTTTGAGCACTTACGACATTTCCAATTTCTGCTGCTATCACCTTCGACGACTTGAATGTATCCTTTTTACAAATAGTTACAATGTGGAGAAAAAGAACTGTACACGTTTTTAGTGGCCTTCCACGGATCTCTCCACTAGATTTTCGCTCTAAAGCATTTTTAACAAAATTATGAGATCTTTCCATTAATTTCCCAATTTCCCGAAGCAATTTTCCTTGCGTTCTGGAGTTTGATACCAGCCGGGCTCCTTCAACAGTGTAATGTGACTTCCGACCCATCTGATTAAAAAATAATTTAATTTATTTGCAGCATTTTAAGCTTTAATGAAAGAAATCTTACGAATCCAGATAAAAAAAACTTGAAAAACTGGATAAAATTAACTTTGTTTACACAAAAAGCTAAGCTCAATTACATACCTACTATATTGAGCTAGCTTTTTTTTCTGAGTATTCACACAAAGCTGAAATACGCATTAACTCGGGAATTTACATGCTTCATTCTCCTAGAAAGGGCGATGCCATATTATCTTAATTAAACTTACAGCATAACTTGTCTCATAAAGCCCATAAAAAGTTTTTTTTTTAAACTATTGAGAGTAGTAAGTTTTATAGTGTAACTATTATTTTCAGCAGGTGTGTATGTACTCATTTAAATGTTGGAAGTGCTTGGTGGCTTATGATATTCGTGTTATTGTTTTAAGGTAAACTCGCACGCGCCTTGCGTGCTTTCATGTCGCGATCGGCTGGCTAAAACAAAAATCAAAGTAACCAGAAAACTAGGCAGCGAGCCAAAGTCACACAGTGGCACCGATAAAAGCAGCTGCGTTTAGAATTGTTCAAAATTAGAATTACATTTTATTTTTGTTGCTACATAATTTTTCCGTCACCACTCCGTTGGTCGTCGGTCGTTGGTCGTGCGATTCGTTTATCGTTAGCGCTTCTACGCTGCACAATACAAATATTAATGCTATGTATTGTAGTAATAATGTTAATACCTATCGCGTTATCTGACTAACAAAAGAAATCGGCCGTTAAAAGCGTGTCCAGCGTTATATATTTTCTTAAAATAGGTTCCCGTTAAGTAAACAGTAATCTTTGGCGAATGTTCATGGCCTCATTGAGCGCATGTCTTGTTCTCCGAAGCAAATATTTCAGTTTAGAGTCTTTGTGAAAGGAAGACAGTCAGAGGGTAAAATTGTTGACAAGTGTCTGATTTGCGACTTCTGTATCACTTTCCTTTCACAAAAAATGAGTGCTTTTTTTTTGGATATTGCAGGCTTCGTGCCAAGTAATCTGCTAATCCGATTTTCGAAGGCAATTCACTTAATTTTTTGTATCTTTATTAACGGTAAAAAAATGATTCTCAATGTGGCAAAACTTTGTCGTTCTAATAATAACTATAATTAAAGTAACTTAGAAGGTAATTACGGATACGCTTTATAATATATGTAAATATATATAGGGTTATTCATTACGAGGTTCCCTACTTTTTTATGAAAAAACACAGAAACTTCAAATTTAATGGAACATTTTTTGAATATTATCTCTTTAAATTGTCAAATGTCTCAAATGGCCCACTCGTTGAGTTCAATTTTCGACTGGCAACTGGCGAATGACGCGCATGGTGTTTTGTTCCAAGGCCTGAATCGAAGCGGGATTGTTAGCATAATCTTTAGACTTTACATATCCCCACAGGAAAAACTTTAATGGTGTGATATCACACAATCTTGGTTGCCAATCGTCCGGCCGAAAGCGTGAAATTATTCGTTCACCGAAATGTTCTCTCAATAAATCCATTGATTAATGTGCCGTCTTGTTGAAAAAAAATGTCGCTGCGGTCACGGGCTTCAATTTCAGATATCGTATAGTCGGTTATCATGGGGCGAAAATATGATCGCTATACACGGTTACGTTTTCACCGGCAGCATTTTGCCAGCACTTGAATCTCTTCAGATTGCTCTTCGTCCCAAATGCGGCAATGTTGCTTGTTTACGTACCCATTGAGCCAGAAGTGGACCTCATCGCTGAACAAAGTTTGGCACGATAACGTCGGATCTTCTTAGACTTTTCAAGATCCTTTCGACCGACCGATGTCGCATGGTAAGGTTGACCGGCTTCAGTTCTTGCATAAGCTGTATTTTGTACGTTTTCAATTTAAAATCTCGTCATAAAATGCGCCAAGTTGTCCCATACGTCAGTTCGAATTACTGCGAACATCGTCGAATCGACTCTCACAGGTCTTGGTGTACACTCTCAGCTACGGTTGCTATATTTTCTTCACAGCGTGCTGGGCTTGGTCTATTATCCATTAATGACATGTCTAAGGCAATGCTAAATGTCCGAGTAGCCAGGTCCTTCACCATCTAATCTCTCCAACGGAGTGGAGGTTTTTCTCTTCCTTTGCTTCCACCACTATCTATTAATTCGCTGAACTATGGCACTGTCGCCATTTTCTTTCTCTTGAACACTCCTAAGGCTCAGCAGCTTGTAATATTTTCTCCAGCAATAGTTTGAAGAGGAAGAGTAACACGATAATGAGTCTCTTTGTCTGAAACCTCACTTGGTATCGAACGGCTCGGAGAGGTTCTTACCGATCCTGACGGGGCTTTTGGTGTTGTTTATCTTCAGTTTATGTAGCCAGATTAGCTTTGCGGTGATGCCGAACTCAGACATATCGGTAGCTTCTTTTAAATCGAGACTGATGTGGTGTGTGTTAATCTTCCTTTAACGCGTCTTTTCTCATATTAGGTAGGATAGTAGATTTTGTAGATCTAAAGCCGCACTGATAAGGTCCAATCAGTTTGTTGTCGATGGGCATCAAATCTTGTAACCAGTTTTATTATTATTGAGAAGGCTTATCTCATGGTAATTGGCATAGATTGTAGGGCCCCTTTTTTTGTGGATTAGACAGAGTTTAACTTTCTCAAAAAATTCGAATTATTAGGACGATACAAATACCGTTCATTCATATCTATTGAGATGTCTAAAGATAAGCATCGAAATTGTATTCTAATCCTAGTCTCTGACCACAGTCTAAGTTCTTTTCATTTGCAATACTTTACTCATTTCATTATTTTTCTGTTGCAGAAATAATGAAAAGCGCAAGGAAAAATCCCGTGATGCGGCCAGATGTCGGCGTTCACGCGAAACGGAGATCTTCAGCGAATTGGCACAGATTCTGCCATTGCGCAAAGAGGACGTCAACCAATTGGACAAAGCATCTATAATGCGCATCGCCATAGCTTTCCTGAAAGTACGCGAAATGCTGCAGTTGTGTAAGTAGAAATTGAAATATACTTGATAGTATTGATGTAGTGATGGCCGTCAATATTTGTGGCAAATTTAGTTTGATTAATGCATTAGATATACCACTTATAACAAAAATTGTAAACAAAATTAATATTCGTCCTCTTTTACAGTCCCGAAAATTCAAGATCTTCTTGGCGATATAAAACTAGACAATGATATTGAAGACAACTCTAATAGTTCAACGCAAATGTCCGTCGTGTCAACAACGGAAAACACTGATGGAAAATTTGATTTGCTCAAATGTGTCGAGGCTACACAATTTATCAAACAGACCTTGGATGGTTTTCTGATGATCCTCTCCAATGATGGCGACATCACCTATGTTTCAGACAATATAACTGATTACTTAGGCTTAGCAAAGGTTGTGAACGTTAAAAATTATTAAACATTTGAACAAAATTATTATAATTTTTCTTTATTTTTTTTAAATTTAGATTGACATACTCGGCCAACAAATCTGGGAGTACAGTCACCAATGTGATCATGCCGAACTCAAAGAGGCGCTAAACATCAAACGCAACCGTCTGCCCGATAAGATTAAAGATGAGAATATGATCGAAGAAGGCATTTCGACTGAGCATCGTGATCTTTTCGTGCGATTCAAATGCACATTGACCAGTCGTGGACGTAGCATCAATATCAAGAGCGCTTCGTACAAGGTTTGTTCGAAAACCTTGCCATATTTGCATGCTAGAAATATCTGCTTTTAATTTTTCGCTTTATCTTCATAGGTTATACACATAACTGGTCACTTGGTGGTTAACATGAAAGATGATCGTGTACTGGTCGCCATCGGTCGTCCAATACCCCATCCCTCCAATATAGAAATTCCATTGGGCACTACAACATTCTTGACAAAACACTCTTTGGACATGAAATTTACATATGTGGATGAGAAGTAAATTGACACAATCACATGTGTTTTGACAAATCGAAATTCGTTTATTAATATTATGCATTTTCTTTCTTCAGAATGCAAAATCTCTTCGGTTACAAGGCCGAAGATTTACTTGAGCAATCACTGTTTGCCTGCCATCATGGCGGTGATTCGAACAGGCTAATGGCAACATTCAAAACCGGTAAGTAAAAGTGTTGTCAATCATAATAATAGTATTATTTAAGCATAAAACGGTAAGTGAAAGTGTTGTCAATCATAATAATAGTATTATTTAAGTTATTTAAGTATAAAACCTATTCTAGATGTATACTTATAATATACGTTCACTGATTAAAAGAGACACGACACGTAGGGATTAGGTATCAAAGTGTAATGTAAAAATATAAAACATACATACATATGTATATGAATTCGAAGCGCGTTTAGTGTGTTGCGCATGACGAGGTGAAACAAATATTATACACTAGATAATTAGTCTTATCACTAAAGTTTGTTGTAAGCGCAAGTACTCATTTCGCACATATTCACATAAATGTCATATGTGTACGGGCAGACGATATTTCATATATAATTGGTGTGTATATACAATGTTTATAGTTCGCTAAATTCGTAGAGAGTGGTTACTTTTTACTTTATTTGTGTATATTTTGTATACAATTCGAAAACACCACACAGCAGAGTTCATAAATATTCTTCATAATATTTCGTTATTTTATTACTCTCTCTCTCTTCGATTTGTCAAACCATGTAGACTAGCAAATCGAACAAAAAACTGGTATAAATATGCTAAACTGGTATAATCCACCATAGTGTCCAGAGTAGTGGCGCATCAAAGCTGGCTTAATATAACTTTTCTATCTAACAAAATGCTCTACTAATAATAAACACTTTGGAATGTTACACTGTGCAACATAATTTTTCAATATGTATGTGATTGTATACAATTTTCTCAAGCGCGTTGCGTTACAAAAGTAGGGAGCACAAGCTGTGACGCCAGGCGAATGTACGCATTTAAACTGCCACGCAAAAGTTGAAAGTTGAACGTTTCGCAAATGCTACGCCAATGCACCCAGAATTCGCTGCTTTTGCTGCACAAGCAATTTTACTTTTTAGCGATTTGTATACTCTTGTAAACAGTGTTCTTCGCTGCAGCAAACAATGCCTTTTGTTAGAAATTACATTTCGAAAAACAGAAAATTACTGCAAGATATACCGAAGATGAAACGATTTTATTATAGGAGATTTATACGCTTTATTTAATGATTTTCGAAAATTCGAAATTTAAATAGTAATTTTAGTAAGTTCAGTAAAATTATAGAAATATATTACATATTTAAGAAAACACCTAGGGTATATTAAGGTAAAGGGTTTATAGGCTTAAAAAGTGATTTTCGAAAATTCCAAAAATTGGGGAAAATATATTATTTGCCGATATACTTACGATGAAACGATTTTATTATGTGAGTAAAAGGTACATATATACTTTTCAAGTAGCGATTATCGAAAATTCGAGATAAAAATAGTGATTTTCATAAATTCGGAAACAGGATGGAAATAAATTATTTTGGGTTACACCTATGATTAACCAATTTTAATAAGGCAATATCAAGGAAAAAGGTTTATCGATTTAAAATAGTAATTTTCGAAAAGTGAAAATAAAAGAAAAATATGTTATTTGAGAATTTACTTATGGTGAAACGATTTTATTATGTGCATTTAAGATTTATACATTGAAAATAGTGAATTTCAAAAATACGAAATTACAATATTGGTTTTCGAAATTCCGAAAAAGAGATTGTATAAGGATATACCTATGATTAACCGATTGTAAGAAGGGAATATCCAGAAAAAAGATGTATAAGCTTAAAATTGTGATTTTCGAAAATTCCAAAAATATGAAAAATAGGTTATTTGAGAATATATCTATGCTGAAACGATTTTATTATTTGAATAAAAGATGCACTTAAAAAAGTGATTTTCGATAATTCGAAATTAAAATATTGATTTTCAAAAATTCTAAAAAAGAAATAATAATTTATTTGATAATATATGTACATACGATGAAACGATATTATTATGTGAATAAGTTCATTTAAGACAGTGATTTTCGAAAATTTGAATTTACAGAATTATTAAATTCTTAAATAAATTTTTAAATTATTGTCATAATAGACTTTGAAGCTATGTTTTTTTTTTGTTTTTTTTTTACTTTCAAACATTTCTGCTTACTAAATCAACGTTATACTAGTCTAAAAGCACTAATTGCACACTGTATTAAAACAAGGAAAAAACGTTTACGATACTCTCGAAATTTTGCTGATTTGTCTGACACACCCGAAACCCATGAACGAATTTCAATTGTTGCCAACGCTGTTGCTACTGCTGCAACATTTTGCATTGACTCGTTCAACGCTTATCGTGGGCCACATTTCTTCTCGACTTTAGGGTTTGTCAGGAATTTATTGTTTCCCCACCGCACCGTAACCCCGCTACATTTGCACAATATGCAGCAGTCCGTGTGCATCCTTACATATTGTATATGACAAACGGAAAACAGTATTTACGATGTGGCTGCTAGACTGCAAAAATCGTGTGGGGTGTGAGTTTGTTGAACTTACGGCGTTTACTGCGGCGAATGACGTTTGCAAAGAATGTCTGCTTGCAGCGAAGTTGGCTCGACAATTTTACAGTCTTTATCAGCTTGCATTCATTTCACGTTGCATTTCATTGCATATTATTTCGTTTAGATTCATCTTTTTTGTTTTTTTTTTTCTTAACTTTCTCTATGAATTTGCGTTCACTTGCATGAAAGCATATTTATATCTGATTTGCCTTCAGTGTTTACCGAAAAGTCTTTGCAAGCACTTTCAACTTTATGTGGCGAGTTTCAACAAAGCTATATGCTTAAATGTGATAAATTACTTTATATTAGTTCCTATCTTGGCGATACCGTGCGCTATGCTGAGTTGTCATAGCTTTACTTTATTAACATAACTTCGACACTTTCTCCAGTTCATTGATAAGAATGAAATGTTGCGAATAACGTATGATTTAGTTTTTGTACCCGTCTATCTTATCTTAGTTTAATAGTTATCTTAAGTATCCGTTCTACATTTTCTAGTGTATATGTTTATATATCCTATTTTCGTTATGAAAAGTTCTCGATACTTACAATTTTTTTTTTTATTTTTGTTAGATTTATGTGTATTGCCTCCGAAGCCTAAGTTTATTATTGACATACTTATAGATAAGATATTTGTTTTTTATAAATAACGTAAAATTAGTGGCGTAATAGCAATTATATTAGATTAGTTAGTAGTCCAAAAGATTTTTTCATAATCTTCGCATGCTTTTAATACGCCTTCGGCAGCTGTTATTGTTGTTTGTAATATGGTTGACTAACATGTAGAGGTATGGACTTCCATTCGTATATATATTATCTGATCAAATTTGAATCAGACTGATCAAATAAAACCAATATTCACCAATTTTCACGTTTTTTAATGCAAATCTTTGTTTTCCGCTTAAACAAAAATAACTTTTGGAGCCAACACAAGCATGCCAACTATTAAACCAATTTGCCATACACTTGTTATAAGCTTTGCCTAGGATGTCCTTTACTACGTTTAATTTTTTTTTTTCGTTTTCGGCTGATTTTTGAAGCGCCATTGACAAGATGATCGAATATTTACAAATTCATGTTCATAAACCCACGTTACCAGTAATGGTGTGTTTGATGAATGTAGCATCCTCGGCTACGTTGTCAACCATTTCTTTTCCGTCCTCTATTGGAGATTAAACCTCCATCCAGTCCGGGATTTGTCCGGGTCAAATTTGATCAGACCATTTCCTTCCCGTCCTTTACTCAAAATTAAACCTCACACGCACATTTAAAAGTTGTTGTGCCAATGATTGAAAAAATATATATTCTGTCGGGATAAGTCCGGGTAAAATGTTGAATTTCTCTTGCGTCGTTACACGAATATCAAAAATAGTAGTACCAATGTAGGAAAAAATCTATCCATTCGCTATTTATCCATAATGCGCAATTTAAATGCATTAGTCCGGGTCAAATTTGATCAAAGATCAATGCCGCTACGGAATTCTTGGTTCTTCTTCTTGCGCTATATTCGCGACTTTATGTCGATGTAGCGTTATGTACATTACAGTTGGTCACCATTTTGCCGCCATAGTTGCAAGTGCCGACATTCAAACAACAACCACGAACTTCGCAAATTACTTCACGCTTGATAACTGCCACAAGCCAACGGAAGCATTGCTGCTTGCAACTGCTACAACGTAGATGGTAATGCTTTCCCACGACACTTTGCGCTGGCAAATTATGCATGTAATAAAATTGGCGAATGAACGCCGAACCACTGCCACCCCCATACCAACCGAAAAACAACACTCATCGCAGACGCATTTAATACGGCTGCCTCCTGCCTGCTGCATACACTCGAGTTTAACTTAAGTGCATTAACATAAAATGGCAATAGTTTTCGCAATCCATTGCCGCCGACGCCTGTCTTCATTGACTCACAATGCTCCCGGCTGCTCCTGCCATTGTCGAGCTGCGGTCGTGGCATTGGCGCACACGTTCCATGGCTTTGTTGTTGCTGGTCGGCTGATGAGTGCAACGGCCGTTGTCTCGCTTTTTCGGCGATTGTGCACGGAAGAGGTGAGGAGGTGCAGGAGCTAAAAAGTGCAAGCGTTGACTCCAAGTGTGCTGCGGTATAATTTTGGCATAGCAGCGATTTGGTATTGTCATTTCTTCCTTTTTCACATTATTTGCATGGCACGGCAACTCCTTTACTTCATTTTCCTCTATATCAACAATTTAACTTTTTTAAACTTTTTTGCATGTAGCAAAATTATTTTACCGTGACTGCGCAGCGACTACCATGAGTTGAAAAAGGCGACGGCACTTTCTGATTTCAGCCATTTAGAAGCTGGCTTGTGGTTGGATTTTAAGTTATTCATAACACTAAGCCATATTTTTCCGCAAATGGTAATGCATTCTTGACAACGGATTAGCAAAGTTCTCGCCTGATGACGGCGGATATGTTTGTGTTGGCTTTTTATTTATGCAAATTAGTTTAGTAGCCACAAATAACGCGCTTTTAGCATAATAAAATTAGAGAACATAATCAGAGTAAACACCCTCTACATGTGTAGGTA